CCCCCCCCTCCCCCCCGGTCAAGGGTGTCCCTCTTTTCCAATCTGAAAATCTGGTCACCTTATGTTAGGTCTTTGTGATTTTAAAAAAAAAAACCTTCTAAGTCAATAGCTCTTAAATTCCAACAGATTTCTCCATCCAAATTCTAACCAGGCCTCACCCTGCTTAACTTCTAAGATCAGTTAGATTTAGTTTATCTCTGATAATATGGTCTTGAGGGAATCCTTTTTAGGTTGTACAGTTAAAAAATGTGAAATTTCAAGACATCGTATTTCAAGACTAATATGTATGAAATGGCATCTTCACACCTAAGGGAATACTAATGGAAATATACTTCTTTTGTATAAAGGTCCACCTGTCTATGAAAAACACAGCATTAAAACATACATATTGAACCTTGAATTAATTATAAAAACAATAAAGGCAAGATACAAATAAATAAAGGGAAAGATCCTGGGGATGTTTTCAAAGAATGGCATATGGCAAAACAAGATGCACAGAAGACCCTGGACCGTCTTTTAGAGGTGACAAAAAGGTTAAATTAAATATTGGTTCAAAAATAAGTACAAGGCTAAAAACCAATGCCATACAGTTGCAAATTCCTGTATGTCTGAGTTTAAATAATGCTTTCAGGCGATTATAAGGACTCTTGAAATGGGGGATGCTGAGGGGAGGGGGAGATGATGGAAAAGCCTTAAGTAATGCATGCAAAATAATTTCCCCAACTTTCCCCTCCTTAACTAGTACCACATTCTTTTGACTGTGTCCACATAGATATGCTTCATTATTTCTTAATCCCAGTGCAAAAGGAATGAAGATAGCCCCGATGGATAAGACTTAATGGACACCATCATGGAATAATATACAGAGCTTAGCCTCCAAAACATGTGTCTTCAATTTAAAATAATTCAGCAATCATGTTCAACCCAATCCTGATTACACAAAATGGGACTTTTAAACTCCCAGGCTTGGATCAAATTCTAAAGGGCCTAACGAAGTGAGTGAGAAAGAAAGAAAAGTGCTATGTTTATACATTCCAGATCTTTCGGATGAATTATGTGCACACAAATTTAACTATTTCTTTGAGTGTCTTCTCAACTCAACTGAAAAACTGCAAAGGCCCCAGAGAAACCTTTTAAGCTAGATCCAGCTATTTATGAAATCTTTTAAAACCATGATGATCAATGAAGTTCCTGGATTGAATAAACAATTATAAAATTCTGAACAATGATGTTGAAAGGCCTGATTACAAAATTACAAATGTAAGACAAACATATGTAGTTCTGGACAGAGTGAGTGTTATGGAGTTCAGTGTGACTTGCAACTAGATAAGTGGATGGATTGGAAATTAAGAAATATTGCAACTGGCTAATATCAATGATAATAAAATATAAGGAGCAATTATATGGTTTCAACTCTCTCCTTCTTCCAGCGCAGGCTTTGTGGCACAACCAGTGAAGCCATGGCGATCTGATATCCAATGGCCGTTAGCCTGAATAAAGGCCACAAAGTGAGCAAGAATGTGTCAAAACCATGATACATGACACTGTTGACGCCATGGGCGACTGACCAAACACACCAAATTTGTACGGGACATGATCCGAGAAGTGTGCAGTTTTGCGCCATATGAGAGACGGGCAATGGAGTTGCTCAAAGTCTCCGATGATAAGAGAGCTCTAAAGTTCATAAAGAAAAGGGTAGAGACTCACATTCATGTCAAGAGGAAGTGTGAAGAACTCAGCAATGTCTTGGCAGCAATGAGGAAAGCCAAGAAGGACTCAATTCTGCATCCTGGTTCCCAATAAAGCTTATTTCAGAAAAAAAGGAATAATTAAATGATTAATGGGATGGAATTAATGGGGTGGGTTCCGGCTGCTGCTACTGCTGGTTTGCTCAGGGACGCATGCACGGGCGCTTCATGCGCATGCACAGTACTAAAAAAGTTGCTTCTGCGCATGCGCAGAAGACAAAAGCAAGATGATGCTGCCTACAGCACAGCCAAGAGAACCAGTTCGGAAGCGTCGCAGGCCAAGTTACTACCTACTCAGCCTAACCAGTCTGTACTGATAGGAATCCACCTCTAAATGGAACCATTCTAGGTTTCATTGTTATCCATCCCACTATCTTCCTATTCTAGGAAGCTACTCATTTATTGATCATTGCTAGCACTTATGAGGATTTACAACAAATTTTAACAATATTGAAGTGATAAGCAAATGATGGTTTACCTATAGAATGAAATTTACAATTAATTTTAAAACCAAAAATAGCAGATTTTTATAAAATAGTATAGGTAATCTGATCATCAGGTTGAAGACTGTTTAAGCATATCATTTGTAAGAAGGTAGAAAGTAATGGAATAGTAGAATAAGATAATAAAAAAAATGGCATCTACACTAACTTCCTGAGGACAGGGATATCCTCTATGCCATGGCCAGATCTGCCTTCTCAAGACATAATGCTAAGCGAAAGGATTACTCTAATACAGCTGCCACATGAATGTGCACCTGAAGGCAGGACAAGAAGCAATGGATGGAAACTAATCAAGGAGAAAAGCAATGTAAGAACTAAGAGAAATTTCCTGACAGTGAGGACAATTAATGAGTGGAACAGCTTGTCTCAAGAAGTTGTGGGTGGTCCATCACTAGACATTTTAAAGAAGAGATTGGACAGCCGTTTGTCTGAAATGGTATTGGGTCTTCTGAGTTTCCTGAACTAGAGGAACTCCAAGAACTATTTTAGATGCAGGTTTTAATGATTACTTAAAATTGTAACTACTATATGCAGTTTGCAGAAAGCTCATTTTAAAAGGTGGCTTATAAATTCAATTAGTCACAAAAACAGGATAAGGAACAGAAAGAGAAATTCAACCATATCTAGAACAAGCTATGTAATACTCTGTCTTTCACTGACCAGGGCAAAATAATTTTCTGGACAGCACTATTCCTCCATGCACATTAAAAGGTTTTTTTTGGGGTGGGGGACTTGTGTTGTTGTTGTTAGACCAAAGGCCTGTATAGGAAAGCATACAATCCCATAATTGCTTTCCAGACGTCTGGCAAAGAACAGGAGCTGCAGTGAATGCAACATGAGTTTATTTCTTTTCCATTATTTTCACTGATAGATTCCCAAGAAGCTTTGGCATACAAAAGCTTTCTCTACTAATTCAATGGCAGGATTTCATGTCCCGGGAGAGCAAAATGTATTGCTCATAACTAACAATTACCACTTTTTACATAGCATAGAAGAATGTTTCTGTTTAAGACCCATTATTACGTTTCCATTTGTCCTCTGGAACAGTCAATAATCATTACAAATTTGTTGAGCCCATTCACTTCTCTCTGACCTCACCTTATATACTTTGAGAGTCGTCTTCTTTTCCTCTGTGGGTTAAAGTCAGTGGCCCTTTTGTAATGTATGTGGATAAAAACTACCAGCGAGAGAAATTGTATCATTTGTATACTTTGAAAAGTATAAAGTAGTGGGGGGGGGGGATCAAATAAGATAGATGATAATTAGGTAGGCAGAAATGGGATCACTGTTTGTACATTTCAGCCTTCCCTTACTTAACACTAAGTCTGCTGGAGTTTAGGAAAACTGTCACAACCAGGCTATTCCCAAAAGCCTTTGGGGCTGGTTTAATGGGTGGGTTCTCATTCTGTAGAATGTAATTGGGTATTTTTAAAGTGTCATTTATTGGCATGGTGATGAAGATGATGGCGATGATATTCATGTTAGGGTTATCTCTATATTTGCCTCAATATTTGAGGAAAAAACAAAGAAATTGCAAGAACACTCTCATATCAATTCATCCTCTCAGGTTACAGAAGGTTGCCTGCCCAGAATTGTCAATTCTACTAGCAGTTGCCTAAGAAGGGTCTACAGAGATTTTATGTTTTGATAAAACTGTCATTATTATGAAGAAAGAAGGTGAAATTCTCATGCTTATACAGTATATGTTTAATGATTTTCTCATTATTATGAGGGTGATGCTATTTTTGAAAGAATGAACTTAGGAAAATTGCATAAGAATCTTATGCAAAGAATGGAAAAACACATCTTTCAGGAAATGATGTCTAATCTGCATCTCTCTCTGTTTTTATAGCAGAAAGCTCCCACTGACTGCCCTGATGAATTTCAGTAAACTGCTACACTGAAATTAGAAGCATAAAAAGCTAAAACAAATTTAAATGAAAGTTTCTTTTTCAACTCAAGTTTGTAACATGGATATGTTTATGCACATTTTGGAGTCGATTTTGGAAGTGATTTGCTTTTGCAAATTGTTGTTTTTTAATCTATCGGTCATAATTCTGGTAGTTTCTGGTGGTCTCAAATCCAAATACTATTATGGCCAAACCTTGCTTTGCTTTTCAAGATTAGCTAGGTGCTGCCACCTGGTGTCAAAAGACAACTACACATATAGATATACAAAAAAGGACATACCCCTAATTTTCTTCTGAAAATTTTGAAACTAAACATAGTCTCACTCTTACTCTCACATTCATGATATATTGTGGTACCACATACTTTGGAATTCCCCACATAGGAACCTTATTCTCCAAACCATCTGTATTTTAGAGTCTAAATCAGATAGGATGGGATAGGATAAAATACAGAACTCAGGGTAGCCTCAGAGATCTTTCTTGATACACTCCAAGCTCACTACTCCATCTCATTTTTTTAAATAAAAAAACTTGTTTCCTTTCAATTTTTGTTTTTTGTTTCACACAGGAAGCTAAAATGCTGCAAACACCCAAACTTTATTCTCCTGTTTCCCCTTAAAATAAGACCTCCCCGGATAATAAGCCCAATTGGGTTTTTGAGTGCATGTGCTAAAACAACCGCTCCCCAAAAATAAGCCCTCCACAAAAATATTGCAACATAACAGCAGCCATGAGGTGACCATGCTCTCCGCCTCCTGTGCCTCAAAAATAATAAGACCTCCCCGAAAATCAGTCTAAGTACTTATTTCGGGGGAAACATAGTACCATCTGGAAGGAGATATAGAAGCATAGGTAGCCCCACAAACAGGCTGAAAACAGATTTTATCCGTAGGCTGTCAGACTCCTGAATGAAAAATAACTCTACAACAACATAGTACGATTGACTTGCGGGCCCCGCGCAACATGCAATACGTTCGCATTGTGCAATAGGGGGACTGGGTGTTTGTTAGTAGGATTTGCTGAGCTAGGGATTTTTTTATTTTTCACTGTGAATTGTATTGTGTTTGGGGGGGTGTACGAAGGGAGGCTCAGCCAATCTCATTGTACACATGTTGTACTCTGACAATAAAGGTTTGAAATGTTAAATTGAAATGAAATGTTACTTAGTGCATTTATATTTTAGTGATCTTTTGGGCCTCAGAAAATTCCACTGGGATGGGAGAGTGCCAGATGAGAAGTTAACTTGCTTTCTAGTAAATCCCATTTTGTGACAGACCATGTTTCCCATAATGTTTGTTTTGTTAGTGGATTCGTTCTACCTCTTCCAGCCCCAGCCGAAAAGATATATCATTGATCTTGGAATCCTACAATGATCTCGTGCTCTTGTTGTTCGATTAGCTCAGTGTTTCTGAACTTCAGCAATTTGTCTGGACTTCAACTCTCAGAACAATTGACGTTGAACATTGCTACTTTAATTATAACAATTATTCCTTCGATTTTTTATCCTAATGAGGGATTCTGATACCACATAATCTCTGTGCCTGCAGCTGAGGCTACTATCCAAATGGTTCAATGGATAAAGAAATAATTCTTTATCGTCATGTTTTTTCCAATAGAAAACAATTAAAACAGAAGCAATGTATCTCTCTGATGTAGGACAGTAACTATAGCGATGGGATGTTCTGAATTGCTTTTTGCCCTGGAAAGAGCAAATGTTTCTGAAAAGTCAAGGGCACCTCAGATATTCTGAACTGATTGACTTTGAAATTGTTCAAGATTAAATTATTCAGCTGAATGTAACATCTAATAGTAGGAACAACCCCTGCCTGCCTTACAGACAGGGAACGTGCTGTGCTGGGCAATAAATAATCTCTAAAGCCTTTCACTATGTGAATTTAATATGCTGCTAAACAAAGCTTTTATTTTCCACATGGTGATGAAGTCAAGAGTAAGTCAATACCCATTTGGCTCTTGATCAGGACATCATGACAAACTGTGAACAATCTATTTGTACAGAATTATCCAGAAAAGATCTGCTTTATGGTTTCCTCATCTCTTAATATTCCTTTTTAGCAAGGTTTGACTGACAATAATAACTTTGATCGCTTAAGAATGAGCATTGCAATCAAAATTGTTGTGGGAAGTTTAGCATTTCAGAGGGCATCATCTTTAGTAGGAGTGTCAAAAAATATCATTCTGTCTTAATGTCTCTCAATGGGAGAAGGCGGCACCCTTCTCCAAGCCTCCCATATTTAAAACTATAAGGCCATGTAATCCAAGGCACCTGTAGCAAAATAGTATATTTCAATATAATTTTCAAAGATGATATAAGTACATAAAGAAGATAGTCAACAGGTAGATTATGCTATATAATAATATAAATTGTTTTGTTTTGACATAGCACAATGTGTGATTTTATTCTTGATGAATGTATTTTATTTTTCTTTATCTACACTGAGAACATATGTATCAAAGATAAATTCCTTGTGTGTCCAATCACACTTGGCCAATAAAGAATTCTATTCTATTCTATTCTGTTCTATTCTGTTCTTGCTTATTAATTAAATTGTTTAAAACAAATTATGGCTTGTACAATATGGGAACTGAATCTGGGTATAAATATGACAATCAAGTAATCTGAT